CATATATATATATATAAAAAAACCCTTCGCTCTATGTGTATATATATATATATGTATATAAATTCTAAATTCACATTTCCGTGTTACCTGGAAGGAAGCATGCAAGAACGGCATATGGAGGGGGAGACGCTGAACAAGGTTTCTCTGGTACAGGACAAGTCTGCCTAGGACAAACCTGCCTCCAGCAGCATCCCCCAGAGAGCTGAAGAAAGGGGGAGTGCTTTTAGCCCCCATCCCCTCTACACAGTAGTTTTCCTGAAGATCCACAGAGCAGCTTCCTGTATTCCCCATATAGGCCACAGGTCCAACCAAAATCTGAGGAACCACCAGGCTAGAGCTAGAGAAAGAAAGGCAAACAAAAACTAAAGCCAAAACCTATTATCATCTAGTCTGGTAGACAAAAGTGGTAATTCACAGGTCAGCAACTGAACCTGGGCACCACTACATGGAGAACCCTTGTTTGCCCATATCAAAACAAGTGATCTCTGTCCCACATCTCTGTTCCCTCTGTGAGCCTGTCAGTCCTTTATGATCATCATCCCTGGTTCTTTCTAAGATCCCCCTCCTTATCCAACTGCCAAAGTACAACTGGGCCTCACAATCTGTCCAGCTTATGCCCAAAGGGGCAGCCATCTTGCAAACAGTCTCTTTGCATCCCACCAGTCTCTTTGCATCCCAAAGAGCACCTAACTGTGTCTGTAGGGAAGAGATCAGATGTTTTCAAAGGCCTGGATTTCATTAGGGATTCCTGCGCAATCTCACCTTCTGAGGAAAGTCAACAAATTTCAGCCGGGCAAGAAATCGCCTCACTTCTCCACGGCTAATTTTGGGAGTGGTGGTGTCCTTTAGCCACACCATTCGACCTTGACTCATCATGGCCCACTTCAGGCCCAGCTTGCTGACTGAGAGAAATCCTGGCTGTTTTTCAGAGGTTGCAGTTGTTGTCACAGTGATGTGAAATGCATCCTTCTGGAGATCATTAATTCCAACTGGTCCATCAGAAAAGGGAGAGAAAATATTGGTGAGGAGTAAAAGATTATGTTTCTTCCAAAAGAAATCTTACAGTCTTTACTCAGTCAAAACATCCACTGGACTGAGGGTATATTCAGTCTGACTTTACAATTGCATGTACCTTAGTTAATCAGGGAGAATGATTTTAAGTTAAAATTTTTCCATGGAAATAAACTGAAATTTAGATCAGAAATGGAAGGGATTGGTTCCACGTGATGTTTTTGAGCTTGACATAGGAGATGCACATATTTCAGTAATGCAGTTCACTTTCAGAGAGCTTTCCTTCCCACACCTGTTAGCAGATACTGTTCTAGCTCTGTAGAAGGGGAAACTGATAAAGCACGGGCAAGTTAGTTCACTCCAGGTATTCGAGAATGATCTGTACAGACCTCAGAAATTCCCTCTAAAAATTATATTCTATTTGTTCTTGACTGAGCTGTGTTTTTGATACAAATCCAGTTAAGATGGTCTTGTGGTTTAATCCGGCAGGCAGCCAAACACCACACAGCCACTCGCTCACTCCACCCCCTCTGCAGGGGAATGGGGGCGAGAATCAGGGAAAAAAGTAAAATTCGTGGATTGAGATAAAGACTTGATTGATTTCTGTTAATGGAACAGAAAAGGAAGGGAAAATAATGATAATAATAATAATGATAGAATATACAAAATGAGTGATGAACAATGCAATTGCTCACCACCCGCCGACGGACGCTCAGCCACTCCCCGAGCAGCGATCGCTGCCCCCCAATCAATTCCTCCTGGCTTTATACTGAGCATGATGTCATATGGTATGGAATACCCCATTGCCCAGTTGGGTCAGCCGTCCTGGCTATGCTCCCTCCCAGCTTCTTGTGCACCTGGCAGAGCATGGGAAGCTGAAAAGTTCTTGACTCAGCGTAAGCACTACTTAGCAACAACTAAAACATCAGTGTGTTATCAACATTATTCTCATACTAAATCCAAAACACAGCACTATACCAGCTACTAGGAAGAAAATAAACTCTATCCCAGCCGAAACCAGGACAGATGTATTGCTATGTAGCAGCTTTTCTATACTTCCTGGCCTACTGGACTCAGTGGTAGATGAACTGATCTTTTATCCCACATCATGCCATGCTCAACAGGCTGGCTGTTGGTTGAACTGCTTTAGAAAGAGCAAGGAAATCCAACAGGGACTGTACAATCTTGTATAGATGTTAAGTCCAGATCTACTTTTCCCTGAAAACACACGTTTAAATATTTTGGATTCCCCCTTTCAAAAAGAAAGAGGAAGAAGCAGCACAGCTGCTATTCCAGAGAGCAGGAAATGGCCAACAAATGCAGAAGTGTATCTGAGGTGACAGAGAAAAGTTTCATAGTGATTCT